AATTTAGTGCTACTTTGTCCCAATGAAATTTCCTATTGGGAACCTACTAGCACTAAGTTGCTAACTGGTTAGGAAGATGCTTCCGAGAAACCTGCCACAACCAAAAAGCTTGCAAACCTTCCGCCACAACAATCCCGCCCCCTTGATAAACGACCAATCACATTCACTTTATTCACTCGTGTAAAGTTACGCACCACTTGGGAGAATCTGAAATGCAACGGTTGGAACGGCCACTTCCCTATGACTTTAAAAGATAATCAATAAAATACTGTACTGTAAATTGTTTTAACAATATAAAACTGTGCACCTGGAGAATAAAATAACCAATATACAACTATGGACATTTTTATGTCCAAAAATGGGGTCGCCAGATATTGTGACATGTATTCCCAACAAACGTACATTTTCCTTCAAGTAAAAAATCCAGGATATTAGAGAAATTATTGATTGGGAGCTTGGTAGGAGATAACATTAAAAATGGGGAGTCTCCTTTGTAAACCGGGAGACTTGGTAGGTATGAGCGAGGCCTGTAGAGAAAATTATCCAGCCTGATCCAGTTGCAGAGGTCAAATTTTTCTGCCTTCTGTTGCAAAACATCCCAAATAATTTATAGAACAGGGATCACATTTTTTTTTTTTTTTTATGACATTTTTATAAAAACATACGTTTCTATTCAGCAACAGAAATGTGACTATACATCAAACACTGTAGCAGCCTTACTGTATGAGGAAAGAGCTTTCTTATACCGGTATTGTAAATGTAAAGTTAGAAACTGCAGCTGGGATGTTGATGGAAATGCCTGACCTTGTTGAACTACAAGCTGATCTGTTTCCCAGCACCGTTAAAGTGATGTGAATACAGTTTTATATCCTCATATTTTAAATCTGTTCAGAGATCAAAGTGTGACAAATAATATGTTATGGTTTTACAAGGGGTTATGAGGAGGGTGGTTAAATGGTTGTTATGCTAACGTTGTCTAGCAACCATGGGTACCTCCAGGCAATGACGGCCTAAGTAAAGTCTTGGTTTACCTCCCTAAGCCCAGGACTGATTGTTTTTGTTATTTTACAGCTGTTGTTTTATTATGTTTCTGTATTTAAGTGGACTAAGATACAAAACTTAAACTCATTAGGTGAGTTTAATGGTTGTCTCGTCAGTTCAGCCTTCAGCATTGTTCTAAAACCTCTCTTCCAGGAAAGCGTTCACAGGAGACGGTGACATAGAAATGAACTTGAGCTCCTAAAATCAATAGTATGGTCTTAAACTTTGACACATTGCCATATTGATGCAGAGATTTAGTGTGAGTTGCAGGTTGTGTCTGTCTTGCTTTGTCATCTCTGACCTTCTCTGATGCATGTTTGCCTTTTCTCATTGTCCCCTTAGGAAGCAGCCCACTGGACAGCCCCAGAAACTTCTCCCCGAGCAACCCTGCACACTTCTCATTCGCCTCTTCCAGAAGGTCTTTGCTTTGTCACATTTATGTACCGTTCAATAAGTCAGGATATTGACACTTAAATTTAAAATAAATATATAAATTCAGTAATTAAATCCAGACAAATAAAAAAAATTCTAGTTTTATAAAGACAACTCCATGTGCGTGTCCAACTCATTGCTGTCTGCTGCAGATAAAATTGCATTGGGGAGTAGTCTTGATAGCAAATTAACTGATCAGCAGTTGGGTTCCACATTATCTCTGGTTAGTTTATCGTGTACATGTGCATATTGTTTGTAGATTTTATAGATGTTCCAGCTCTGCCTGTTTTTCAGTGTAGTCCTGTTTCTCTGACTATGACTGGCTGGATGTACTCTCTTCATCCTCTGACATTGGAGCTAACTTGGAGCTTGTCTGCCTGACTGTGTGTTTCCTTGACGGACCGCCTGTGGTGTTGGTTGACAGCTGCTTTTTGTCTGCTTCTGTCCCATTGAACCCTAGTCGGCCTCGGCAGATGGCCGCTCACACTGAGCCTGGTTCTGCTGTAGGTTTCTTCCTGTTAAAAGGGAGTTTTTCCTCTCCACTGTCGCAACAAGCATGCTTAGTGTGAGGGATTGCATCCGAGTCAATGAGTTGATCAACTGGTTTTCTTTAAATAGAAAAATTTGAATCAATTTGACTGTATGATATGGTTAAATTGTAAAGTGCCTAGAGATAACACGTGTTGTGAATTTGTGCCATATAAATAACCTGAATTGAATTCAATTGGTAGAGAGCCCATTACCCAAATCATATGAACTTGCCCAAGGCGTTAAAGCTTCCATTTACAGCCCTCTCTGGCCCCTAGGTTAACTTTGCTTTACTGGAAGCTTGCCCATCCTTCCTCATATATCAAGTGGGTCCGGGAAGTACTCGACAATCTGAAGCTTGAGAGGCTTATTCTCTCTCCAGGGCACTTTGAAGTTATTCGATACCAGGTGTGACCCCTTCTTATGGTAAACACAGTCTCTTGATTACCGTCTTGACGTGAAGGTTTAGTAGGGAGAGCCACCTTTATTGCCATTCATTTTTTGTGGATTGTTGGGATTGATATGTATAATAATGTGCATATTTTTTCATATTTATACCTATAAATCTGAGGGGGGATAGGCAGGTGGTCAGGGGTATTCACATATATAAATGTTTATGCTTATAAAGAGGCTCTGGGGTTTTGATTTCAAGATTTAAATGTAAACATATATTTTAATTCAAATTAGTGGTATTCCATGTCTTAGATTCATAATAATAATTTAACTTTATTGATCTCACATTGGAGAAATTTAGCTCTGCATTTAAGCCATCCCGTTGGGGAGCAGTGGGCTGCCGCTGTGGGGCCCCTGGGGAGCAATCAGGGTTTAAGGGTCCTGCTCAGAGACCCAGAGTGGTAGTCTGTGGGAGTGGGTTTTCATGTCTAAGAGGTGGGTCAGAAGCCACATTTACATTACCCTCTAAAAGAAACGTTCGGCACTGAGCTTGGATCAGTTAACCGTGCCGAGCTTGGTTCCTTACGGCCAGTTACACACCACACTAGCACAGTTCCTCGCCTCCTAGTGATCATCTACAGTACTACTGCTCTCTAGAGGTTAACAAGCAAATCAATATGTCGGAGTACGTAACATTCAGGAAGTTTGTGGAGAGTCAGGCGAAGAAAACAGCCTTTGCTGTCGTATCCACTTCGTAAAAGCCGACTTTGTCAACTGTGATTACCATCTAATAATAGATGTCTAACAACAGTTATGTTTCTTAAGAGTTTTGACTAGGAAAGAATACTTTGCATATATAAGTACTGAATATTGAATCTAGCCATTATATCGTAAATGGCTTACCATACTTGCGGATGCCTCTGTAAACTTCTGCCTAGCAAAGACAAGCCTAACTTCACAGGACCCATACTTTCAATGGCTCTGCCTATACCTACCGAAATTAATGGTGAAAGACATGTTTTGCTCCACTGAGTCGTAATATTTAATGGATGACAGAGTATGGTGTAACACTGTGTTGCAGGTCCCCCAGTTGAAAGATGGCAAAAACAAAAGACATCCACAATAAAACTCCTCATAGAGGTGAATAAATCCATCCAGTCACAAAGTTTCTGTTCAATGTAAATGTATCATCTCGCTGTTTTTTTTCTATCTTATAATAATAGGAGTTTAGCAGCTTTTAATTTTTCAAAGCAGCAAATGCTCTGACCTTGCCTCCCCAACCAGGAAAGATTCACATATTTGATACTGGAGGCTGGAAATTGGAAGAACTAATATTAGGTGGCAGCAAGGCACTTAGCATTGGTAAATATTAACCAGAGCAGCACCAGCAAACCAATATACTCTTTGCATGTGGCAAAATGCTGGTCAGGCCTAAACTGAGCACCTTAGCATGCCCAAACAGAGCCAGCTTAACGCCTAAGGGTATTTTCATCTGTAAAAGTGCAAAGAAGAACCACAAAGAAACATACAGTAATTACCTTCTGATCCGATTTGTTTACAAATACATGTCTGTAACTAATAACTGATTACCTGCGATCGTCTTATAGCTAGAATTTCTGCCAGATTCCACCAAAGTTGTGTTGAAAAGCTATTAGTGGAGATGTTCCTCACAGAAAGAGGGATCTGAAATCAACTTCTGCCTAAGCCAGCCAACACTGTGTCCCTGATTGAAAGTAGCTTCAAAATTCGCCTCTTTACACTTATCCCTTCACCTCTGGTGAAAAAAATGCATCCCTGCTTACTTTGAATAATCTATTCAGATCTCTTAAAATATGACATGAAAATGTAATGCTGGTGGATGTTGCTACTTTCTAATAGCAGGCGGACTCATTTGTAACTAATAAACAAAGAAAGTTTTGATATGATTAGGCTCCGACACTTTACAAAAGCAGAGATATGTTTGAATAAGCCCAGTTGGATTTGGATTCATCACTGTCGCCTCTCATCCAGACATGGTGCTGCCAGTAGAGTCTCTGGCGGCTCAGCCCTCCTGCAAATCTTTCACCCTCATTTATCAAATCTGTCTGCCTGCCTGTCACAATTGGACTGAGCTGTACAAAAGTAAATTAAATGAGTCACCAGTCCTCATCTTATTAAGAGTAGATTCAGAATAAGTCCTTAGTTTGCTCTGTAATATTCTAATACATTATACAGTTGTTAGGGGATTGTTTTGTTTTTTTTGACTAAGCACACTCTGTGGAGGATGCTCGATGTTTCCCATAATATTCTTTATTTTATGAAGACATCTTTAGTGTGAAATCATCCCGAGAGGTTCTACAAAAGTTCATAGAATAGAACACTCTTTATCAGCTTATTGAGCTTTAAGTCATTTGCTCTGATGCTGTTAGCCTTGCAGATGATGGTAGAAGAGATCCCACTTTCCACAACATACTTTTAGAAGATATGTAGCATCATTCTGCAATCAAAGGCCCAAGTTCCCTCCAGAAAGTACAATATCCTCTGTCTTGTCTCGTTCCTGTTTCTTCTGAAATCTACAATTATCTCCCTTGTTTTGCTTACATTCAGGATCAGATGATTGTTTCCACAACATTTCACAAAACCTGCTCCTTGTTCTCAGCTTCTTGTCCACCTCTGATGCACCCAATGACTGCAGAGTCTTCCAAGTATTTCTGAAGATGACAGGATTCTGTCTGGCCCTGGTAGTCAGAGGTGTATGGAGTGAAAAGGAATGGTGAAGGCACCGTCCCCTGTGGGGCTCCTCTGCTGCTGACTGCTTGATTGACCCTTCAGTCTCTCAAGCTGTGGTCTGTTTGTGAGGTGATCTTCCATCCAGGCAATTATTGAGGCCTCCAGTTGAGTCTTCTGAATTTTCAAGCCAAACAAATCAGGTCTAATTATGTTAATTGCATTGGGACAATCAAAGAACATGTTGCTCACAGTGATGCCTGCCTTGTTTGAATGGCAGTGGCTCTGTTGAAGCAGGTGTATAATGGCATCTTAAACTCAAACTCCACAGCAATAAGCAAACTGCAGGTTTTGCTACAGCTGTTTTTTTGTTTGCTGGGATGAACCAACCGACCATCATGATGTGGGATGTTAGTGCATCATTGTGGACTGGTGGCAGAGTCCTCTTTGGTGCTGGAACAGGGTAGGAGGTCTTCCACATCACTGGAAGTGTCACTTGGGTCGGACTAAAGTTGAAGAGGTGCTGTAGAATCCCACAGAGCTGCTCTCTGCAGGCCTTCAGGACGCTGAGACTACGCCCAACTTTACCTGGTGACTCATAACAACTCAGTCTCTCCCTTTGCCTGTTCACTTGACTTCTAAAGACAGACAGGTGAAAGGCAGAGGGAGCAGCACCATCTTCTGATTTGGGTGAAAACAAGCACATAGAAGCTGGAGGGTCCATGGCAGAATTTGACAAGTAAATTAAGTAATTTATAAACACTTTTTTTTTTTTTTTGATGTTGATAGCTGTAGGTGGAAAGGATCTCCTGTAGTGGTCCGTGTTGCAGCAGATTTGGAGAAGCGTATGACTGAGCACACTCTGTGGAGGATGCTCAATGTTTCCCATAATGTTTTTTTATGGATAGTGTTGTTCAGTTCTGCTAAATAGTAAAATAAACAGTTAAATTTTAAAGGTGCTAGTTTTGAGATTTAAAGCAAAATGCATTTTTTTTTTCTTGTAATGTTGAATGGGGGTGTATAATTTGATTAGTCATCACTGAGGTGATGATTGGATGGTCATGAAAACTTTCTTGCAAACCAAAGGGGCTCCCAGCAAGAAATGTTTTGGAACCACTTTGGGGGAGTTTGTCTGTTGTTCTGAAGGACTCAAGATGGAAACATGGCAAAAATGGCGAAGAGTAACTTCTTATTAGATCAGACTAAAATATATATATATATATTGCCTGCATTCAACACACCATGTGTGGTGGAAATGGACATCTTAATGCTGTTCATCATTCTGAAACAAAACCCTCAATAAGGAACCAGAAAGTGTCAGCATCATGCTGTACTGTATATAAGCTTGTCTAGGTCTAATTAAGTCATTAATTTAGTTGATAATCTGTGAAAAGACAAAAAAATGAAGACAAAGACAAACAACAAGCAAAACAAAAAAAATGGCTCAAGCAGAATAAATCAAACATATAAACTAAACATTTAAGATTTTATTCCTAAAATATTTTCATTTTAATTGATCTTGTAATGGGTATTAATCCAGCACTTAAATATTACAGTAAAAGCATTGAAGTGTGATTGTCATACTACAAACTGTAAAACGGTTAATGGCTCTGGGTTCTGTAGCAAAGCATTGTATTTGATTTTAACAGATGTGATATTTGTGTTTCCTGCAGAGCGGATGGGAGAAGATGGTCTTTAGCATCTTTACCCTCCTCTGGATATGGCACCAACACTCCCAGCTCAACGGTAAAACTTTTCTCTCATATCTAATTCATTATATAAAAACCTTTCCATCCATTTTAATTGTCGTTGAGAGCCTGTAAATTTGAATCAGTTGTTAACTGGCAAGTCTTGTCCTTGAAGGTCGCTGTTCTGCAACTGTAAGATCTGTCCTTGGTCCAGCACAAATGTATCAAACGGCTGAATTATATCCTCAGTATACAGATTCCCCAGTCTGGGTAATAATTTTTTGATTGCGGTATGTTGGAGCAAGGACATACCTAAAAACGTTAGGATGCCAGCCCCTGAGGACTGGAGTTACCTATCCCTGATGTATGGGGTTTGCATCTATTAAGGAATTTCCTTCGGGGTTGAATGCCATTGAATTTCAGAACTCCAGGTTAGAATGTTAGACATTCTTTTTCAACCTTGACCTGACAATCCAATATGGCTCCTCGAGGTACAGATCTTCTGTAGCTTTAGTATAATTCAACCTGAGGGTTGGAACTTTTGTGCTGTTTGTTTTTCTGGTGGGTGAAGAATAAATAAAGGATCATTTAAAAGAGCGACGTGGCTGTGTCCGAACGTCTGCCCTAACCCCTAAATCCCTCAATTGCTATATAGAGCAGGGACTATATAGTGGACTTTATAATTAACTCCATTAACTGACCGTTTGGACAGATGATCGCTACTTTTCACTTCCCGTTGGTCACGTAACTCTGCCATCTTTGTTATTTGTCAGCACCACAATAAATCCCATGATGCTTTGCAAGGAGAGCTCTCGCAAAGCAATGGGATATATTTGCTAGTCCAGTGAACATCGATGATCAGTACTTTTCAAGTTGCATTGTGGGAAATTTTGAGTCCACTACTTTCTTATCTACTAAACATTCAGACAGTCATTTAAAATGGGATAATGGCTATAGAGTTCCCTAAATAGTGATTAGGAAAGACATTGGGATACAACCATGTCCTTTATTCTTTTGCATGCCACATTTGTTGAAACAATATCTGTTAATTTACTATTCCTAAATTTTTCAGAAAATGTACAGTATTTCTCAAAAGAACAAAAATAATTTTTTTCTGTAAAAGGGGGATGACGGCACCTATACTTTCACGTGCAAAATGCTAACTTGATTCAGTTTGATTGTATTTTAACCATAAACTTAAAACAAAATTAAAGAAATCAATAAATTATTCACATCAATATACTAATGTGAATTAAGAGAAAAACAGAGTTAATTCTTATTTCAGAACTTGGGTGTGCAATTTGAGATAAAGAACAACTGCTCAAATGTTTTTATATAAATGTTATGCAGAACCATACCCAGTTTACACAGCATATATGTATAAATATTTGTGGAGTTTTATCTGCAAGAAAATCTAGGCTGTTCTCTATACCTATCTATTCGGGGAAAATAGAAATTTCTGCTTGGTTAACTTCCAGCTTTACAGTGTGATTATTGTAGACTGGCCCTAAACTGGTTTTAGTGCCTACCAGTTTTCAGTAGCCCTTCAGTGCACATTGCTCCCAGCCTGGCTGCCCCTGTGAAGGTTTTCTGGTAAATCTCACTTCCATAAATGTACTACTAATTTCTGATGCCCCTTCAGTTGGAGCACGTCCCAGCAGGACCTGAAACAGTGCAGTATAGTCACAATTTGATATTTTGGAGTTCTATCAAATGGACAACAGATTGGGTCTGTACTCTAGTGCACATTTTCTATTTAGACCTTCCTACTTATTATACTTTTGTTATGAAACTGTAAGCCATATGTTGAGATGCTATAATTCAATAATTGCTGATGTAAATTGTTGTAATTGTATATGATTGAACTGATATATCTTGTGAATGAGATACCGAGACTCAAGCAACTAACCATTATAAATAAAGTTTTTATTAAACTTAAAACAAATCCTTTAACCATCAGGTCTTTCAGGAATGAGCACTATCCCTTCAAATAAAACCCAAAGATTTTAAATAGTTAAACCGAATCTGTTATATATTTTGCGAAGGTATTTTGAAGAATCTTTTAGAAGCTCCATTGTATGGCGGTTATCTGTCGCATGCCTACAGTGGCCATGTTGGGAATAACCTTTAAAGATAAAAGTTTAAAAAGTTATTTTGAGTAAAAGTTTACTCATGTATTAAACTTTTATACATGTTTATAACAGTGGCGGCTGGTGAAAAATATTTTTGGTGGGGCTGATATAGCCTAG